TATATATATATACATAATCGTGCCGTGAAAAATGTCTGTTGTCCAACCAGAGCTAAGTTACAGCTTAACCAGACCAGAACCGCTAGCCATTTTCATAGGCGATGGGACCGCGGTCGTTAAACTATAAGTACACGATCTTATCCATTCGGATCCCCCAAAAGGATTTCTAGCATATGGTTGCCGTCAATGCCTATGTACAAGCGGGTTAGTTGTACAGCTGAACTGTCACCTGGTAGCACTCATGTCCCTCTTCCATTTGGTATCATTAGGTCTGATCGCCAAGATTTCGACTGAGAAATCTCAACGACCGATCACGGAGCAGATAAAATACTTAGGGCCGATTTTTCCCGGAAGTGTTTAACAGCCCACTGAACTGACTGAAAACTAAACAGCACGTGAGTTTCAATCATGCAACTAAGTTCCTTAAGCTGATCAGGGGACAGCGGTATAGTGTTAAAAAGTAGGAAATAGGCTTATCTTAAATTTTTCTGATACAACCTATTGGCTAAAAGTGGTTACGCATTCGAAGGTAAACTCAACAGTGTTCAGTCGGCATGATAGGAGGACCCAAAGTTGCGCGGCTAGTTCCGTTTGTGTTAAACTGCGACTGTTTTGATTGCATAATAATTTTGATATGTAACAGTTATCGAAATGCGGTGTGGTTTCTTCGTCTTCAAGAAGCTATAAGTTTTTTGAAAAAATTCCACGACTGAAACTAGTAAATATAAATAACAGTTTTTATACCCATGGAACGCTTTGTATGTGTGGTCACCGGACAATTTGGAGAAATCATGAGGACTCAGTTGTCGCCAGGCTACCCAAGCCTAGACAGAGGAAATCGAAAAGCAAATTTCGGGTTCGAACTTTCCGGTCAAGAGTTTTGTACCGAAATCAAGCCCCAGCACAAAATATAACCGTAGGGGCGTTGGTTTATGTGGTAAAAGCCTGATTTACGGACGATTAGAAGTTTGGTAAATTTAGCGATCTTCCTCCTTAGGGACTCATTTCCTTAGAGCAATTAATTTGTGCTTACATTCATGTGTTTCAGAGAGAAACTGGTCAGCGGACAAACTTCCAAAAATGCTTTATCGCGCGTGCCGATCGGATCTCGAACAACATTAGTGGTGCCTTGATCGTGCAAAATTAACGACCTGTTCGAAGAAAACCAAGAAAGAGAGGTTTGTCAAATGCCCAAGAGGATACGGTGCCGATTTGGTCGTGATCAAACCACTGATTTCCTATNCGTGCAAAATTAACGACCTGTTCGTAAACCCCAAGAAATAGTGTTTTGTCAAATGCCGAAAGAGGATACGTGCCGATTTGGTCGTGATCAAACCACTGATTTCCTATTCGTATGACGCTTCCTTCCTTTGACTTGAAAAATCTTGTGTACAGTACGGTTTATTAGTGACAACGCCTACGCTTATTTTTTATAACTACATATCAGAAACACTCACCTACAAAGGCTTGCGAAATTGCTTTATTACAATGCGAAGCATATTTATATTTCCTTGAATGAGTCGTGGTTTTGTAACTTCAGGCGGGTCGGTCATTTGCGCCAGTTGGTTCTCATGCAATGTGATTATTCTTGGTCACTGTAGTTGACTTGGTTTACAGGTCGCAAGTCGAACAGCGAAGCTTATCATCGTGCTTGAGGATCAAGCTAATTATTATGTTCAGACGTTGAATTTATCTCAGGACGGAAAAGTATGACGCTTGAAGTAGACACTAGTTCATGGGTATAAACGCATAACACAACGACTGCCTTTGAGGGTTATGCGCCCACAGTGTACGGATCGGCAGATAGCAGCGAAGGGTTAGAACGATTTCACGAAAGCCCTATGCTTGCCGTCTCTATGACGCTTGCCAATTTAACATTGACTATTCGTCGACTCCAGCTAAACACAACGGATAAGATGGAAGCCGATTTTGGGCAGTGCCTAAGTACAACCTAAGTGGGACCTGTCCCAACTCTCTCAGGCCAGTCAATGCAAATCTTGAAATGACAATCCTTACGACATACTAACAAGCGTCAGTAGTTGATTCACCGCTCATCCTGTTAATTTGCATTTGGACTATTCGTCAGAAAACACACGCAAAGTTTCTGAGTACTGTACCCTGAAAGATCAGAGCAGGAAGTTTGTGCCAAGGCGAAGATAAATGAATCCTTCACCAAGATAGGTTTAGCTGCCTTTCAAGATCGAATACACCGGCAATATCTTGTGTGAAACGTTCCACTTAATAATAGTCTGTTGATGACGTGTAGCTGATGCGTGTTCACTAGATCTATCTATCCCGCTCGAAGGCACTACACATTACATTGCCAAAAAGCTGTTTGGGGCAACGACAACGCCCGAAGTAGCCTAGATCAGGATGGGAGAAAAGCCTACGAGGATGCACGTTGGCATGCCATAAGGACCATCATTTGAAATCAAACGCCCAGCTTCATAAGCACCCCTCGTAAATTGTCAGTAAGGTATCCTACGAAGCACCAAAATGTCGAATAATTTCACCTGCTTTCGAATCACCGCTATCCTTCAAACAAGTCACTCCGATGAACATTTTGAATCAACCTACGATCGTGTGCATCAGTTGCCAGACCTATGTATATTTTGTAGTGTAGTCGGTCACCCGAAACTCCGTTGGTTGTGTTGCCAGTAGTTTGTTGGACAAGAACCAGATAGACCTACATCATATTGACATCGCCGGAATTCGTTTGTGCTCGAACCCTGTGGCGGTAATAATTCGTCGGTATGTGAACCGACACTTCCGCAATAGACATGCGGCCAAATCCTATATATAGAAGTAGTACACAACTCATAAGGTTGCTGAAAATTCCTCAACAGCCCACGACCGGTCCCGCCCTTCTTAGGGCCCATCAGGTAGGCGCAGTCCCGGGGCTTGTGTCAACCTTATGTTCTACCTGAACATCAAATACGAGAGATACAGCTGGAGTCAGGGTGAGTATCCCGCAAAGCCAACTTTATTCGCAAATGAGTGTATTTCACTAATGTAACGAAACTACTCCACGGGCTTGCGGGTAGCACCGGCGAATTCCCTCCAGGACATTTACAGAAGGAATTCCCACTTTCCCAACAGCAACAAATAGGAAGGATTCCTCATTACTTAACGAACTAAACTGTCGTCCCGAAATTTCAGCATGTAGAAAAGCTCCCGTTGGCAGAACCCTCTACAGTGTCCACGCCTCTTGACAGCCCGATTTTCACAGCTATAAAGGGGTTATTAACGTAACTCTTTTGGATGCTTACATTATTCCAGTCCTACTTGTGGTTCGCATTGTGCACCATTGATAACAGGTGCCGCTCACTTACAAGAGGGTGCGTGGATGGTCCCCCTCTTCTAGGGTCGGGAGAACAACCCCACAGATCGAACACTCCGTGAAAATCTTTTAGTACATTGCGAAACACCAGTTTACCCTCGGAGTTTTGTCGTCCTCATATTCGGCATTGCAAAAATACGAGAACTAGTCAAACGTTAAGGAGAAACATGTGGGTACATATTAACACTGTCAGTATTTAAAAAGTGACCCGAGAAGAGGATAAGCCTCAAGAGGAACGCAGTAATTTTTCCACTTTTAAAGGGATGTCAATCAGCTAGTTTTTCTCTAACCTACTTACAGAAGACCCTGAATGGTGCTCGAAAGAGTACAGCACGTCTTCCGTAGCGCGACCGCAGTGTTTCCTCCTCGTAGTCTCTGAGCTCTTTTAAAAACCTGAGTCGCTCAGGCAGTTTGACACAATTATGTATTCTGCGTAGGTTACTATGCCTGATATTTCCAGGAAGGGGTTGAAATGGATCAGAGATTAGAGCGTGAATTAACTGATCGGAAAGTTCGTGGTTCGAACCCGACCTATGCCTCTCGACTTCCCCTGCCTAGGCTTGGGCAACCCGGATGTATCCAACCCTCACGCTTCCTTCAGGTGGCATGGCAGTTAGGCACCAAAAGGGTGCTACAGCTGAACGATTTTTAATAGGCAGCTCCAAGATATTCAAATAATGATTTTCCCACGTTAGACGATTCAAGGGTATAGTTAATCGCGATTCAAGAAAAGCCATAAGGCACTCAAGTCCACCATAACACAACTATCAGCTAATACTGATGCTAAAACCAATTTACGGCAGGTGCTAATCGTCCGAGACGCCGAAAATCAATTTATCGGCTCTAAACAGTACGATAGGCATACTGATTCCAGCTACTAGAGTTTCGATCACCGGAAAGTGGAAGCGTGGGAAATACACACAAGCATTGAAGGCAATAGCTTTGGTGTACGAGCGCCACAGACTGCGAGATTGGGACATTTCTGACAGTGTCAATATTCATTAGTGAGATGAGTCCCGGGGTCTCCATCCAGGCGTTTGTCGACCCGATTAAGTTTACTGGTCAGTGTTTCCATACTCCATTGTCTCAAACAGCGTAACGTAGGAACCGTGAGTAATTTGTCTAACGCGAGAGTTCTTTTTTCCTAGGACCCTCTGGCGTGCCTCAAAATTACTAATCCCACCAGACCCGACAGTCAAACAGTGACATCTTTCGTATATCCTCTGCGCCTAGAGGCCACGTCTCTGATCCCTAAAGTGGTATGGATCGCATTATCGCAATATAAACTTTGCCGTTGACAGACAATCTGATGTCACTTCGGCGCCATAGGTGTCGGAGTTTGGCAAACGCTATCGTGGCCTTGATCCGAGAAGTAATCGCATCTCCAACCAGTCCACCGGAACCTATATAACTGCTCAAGCAAAGAAAGTTATCTAACACTTCGATTGGTCTGAAAGCATGAGGTTTGGGCTTGATCGAAGCAGCACTTTACACTTCGCAGATGTGAAACGCATGCCTATCCGTCCGGAATAATTATTTGAGCCAATTAAAATAATCTACATTTTTGAAGGACCTCAACCAAGGAGAGTAATATCATCCGCATACTTAATATCTGTGAGCGAACATCCCTGGAGCATATCGATCCCGGACTGGCACAATGAAATGACCAGGGTCAAGTTGTGTATCCAAGAGGGAACGAAAATCTTTAACTGAGGCTCTCCATCGGTAACTGATAGATACATGGTCCAAACGAGTCAATAACCGTCTTGTGGTAGGTGGTTTCCAAGTAATTCGATGTCAGCATTTGTGTTGGAAGTTCGTGCTGACCAGGAACAGGCGACAATCAGCAGACAACTGAAACAACCGCTCCCCATACGATCAGCATCGACTCCAGATCTACCACTTAACTGTGCTTCTTCCAAACTTAGTCATCCAACTTGGGCATTCATATCGCCAGACAAGATTGTTATATCCGTCCTTCTTGCTGATCGAAGCGGTCGCGACAGACCTTGATAAAACTTGTCCTTCTCAGTCTCAGAAGTGCAATTCGTCGGGGCGTATACTGATACGACAAATAAACACTGTTTATCGCATCGCCCAGCATTGATCTTAATTGAGCCAGACAACTGCACAGCACACGCATGTTCACCGATATCCAATCCGATTAGGCGCTTGCAGCCTTGCTGCTGAGTGCAACTCCCACACCGTAGATACCACGAGCCACTGCGGCAGGATCACCGGACAGCAAAGGACAGAAATGTGGAACGTCTGAGCCCGTCCTACGCAACTTCAGGTGCACGACAGACATGCGGCCTTGTACGCGTTTCGGAGACCAAAATACATCGACAAATAGGGTAGGCAAGGTTTCAGCAAGAGATGTCTGTTGCCTAATTTGACATAGAGTACATACGTCAAGAGGCTGCAACATGAATAAGACCTTTCGAGGCTAGTAACTGATCGTTTTAGTTTCTTTTTCTGGGTGATGGTTTGGACACGAAACAACCACTAAGGGCTGATTGCACTGTATCGTCCGATTGGTGGGGAGAGGGCACAGGGGAAAGCCGGTGAGCGAACAACTTCAAGCGCGAATGATGCTTCCTGGTTGTCCAAGCTGAAGAAGGGGGTGGTTGAGGCACACCATCTTGATCCTCTGACTCAAAAGTTTGACCCACAAGGTAGTAGGAAGATGTAGTGATTTGTTTGGGGACACTGCTCTTAGCCCCTTACTCAAGAATCTGGACGGCGATGCAGGGTTTTTAGGGTTTACTAGAGGGAACCTTCCCGTCTGGCCAACTTGGCTGCAATGGGACCGGCCTGGCCCGGGGACGCAGGGACTTGGACATTACTAACTCACTCCTAGTGTTGCTGTGCACAGCAGCACAGAACTCGTTTTACAAGTATTTATACCGTATTTATTAATGCCCTGGCGATCACGGTCAACCTCAGGGTGATTAGTGTGTGGCTTTCGGGATCAACCTTTTTTAACCCGTCTTTCCTCGGCGGAATACACCATCGTTGCATCCTCAGATATGAACATGCTGGTCACTTGGGAAAATGCCTCAATGCCTTCCCTCTCCTATTGCGGAGGACAGTACGAATTCGCCTCCACACTACCTCGTAATACAATTACTCGCAGTACGGAGACCCGCTGTTCTTCGTCTGACTGCTCCCTGTTGGCCTTCCTGGCATGCGTGGACCTTTAGGAACTGAGTTCCAACCAGTATAGTCTGAAGGATATTGCAGAAGAGAAGCCCGACTACCACGGTTAGGTGACAGCCTTATATCGAGACTTCGAGGATGATATGATTATCAAATCCGGGATCTTTTGGCTTTTCAATCTACTGGCATCATCATGTTCACGACAAGGATCAACTGAGAGTCATAAATCAGTCGCATGCACAAAGAGGCGATTATCATAGAGACATTACAGTGGATCATGGATTAGATGGATCGGGTCTTCGAATGGCTAATTTAACGAACGCGTTGTTTACAGCGGGAAGAGCATGGCCAACAGCAGGTGTGCCCAGTGGAGACCGAACATACGAATCATCTTTGAACGAACAAACTTTCACTGTACACTAGGCCAAACAAATAGCCTGCTGAGTAATGAGCACACCTGATTTCAAGTCAGAACGGAATATGATGCCTTCTTCACAGTTTTCTTCGTTTGGCTTGTTGGTAATTCGTCGTCCCCCCCCCCCCTCATGATATCCATGGGCCTATTCTGTAGAAGATGGCGGTCGGACAGTCAATGGGGAATTGCTACAACCTTTCATGCGTTTCAATCAGGGACAGGACACATAGGGTTCAGGTACGTTGGACATGTGTGAGTCAGGGATACCGCTACTGTTAGACGCGGGAAAACTGTAATTATTTATTCCCGCAACAAGTAATTCTCCTACCTTATCCGGATTTCACCAACATACCACAAAATAATGCAAATTCTTACAGTACCAACACAAACGCCCTACTCACAGATCTGCTGAAGACAAGAACAAATCCTAAGAACTTCCGTGAGGGTGAACATCAGGGAATGAATTGAACCAATCCTCAATATCCAATTAGTTGGTGCTTTTAAATCTTGAAGCCCTGAAATTCCCACCCAAAGGATTCCTCTCTAAATACTCGATCAGTCAACCACAGTTAACTAACACCGCCCGGGAATCAAAAATGAATCGCTTGATATCGAGGTAAACACGTAAGGTTTGGTAACAGCTTCAAACGGTTGCGACTCACAGCCGAGTGACTAACTCATCTCAGTCAAACTGATAAGTGAACCTGGAGTTGCGTAATCCCACAGAATAAGCGAGTGTGATTCCACCCATACAGCGACAGACCACCGTGTTTTAACGCAGCTAACAAACCTCATCGACAACCAGGCGTTTGACAATATTTTCGGCAGTCCAGTGTGCTCGTTCATCCACACAAACCAAAGCCATTAATGATAAAGAAAATTGCTCTCACAAAGAAATGTCAAATTTACTCTTGAAAATCCGCATGTTGAGTCATTCGTGGCCAGAAAATATGCAGTTGCTCCAACTTTTTCAATCACCACTAGAAATCGCAATGGAATGAGCTTTATCTTTTATGTATGGGTTTTGTGCGACATACGTTGGCTTCTTGTTCACAAAAACAAAATACACTGACAGCCGTCTTTATCATTTCTAACTTTTCATTTAGAACCTTGACAACATATACCATCTGCGCACGACCATTTTTGGGAAAACTTGGGTATCGACAGGTGGCGACCGGATTGTCTGCTTCCGCAGTGACCCAGGTTCGGTGTCTTAGCTACCAGCAAACATTATGAGGTAGAACACAGACAAACACACTTGAAATCCATTTGACTGTCTCGTGCACTGTCTCACGGAAGATATAGCCCACCTTCTTGCACTACAAGAGGGCAAACAAGTAAGATAATTTTGTAAATCATGAGGGTCATCCACCACGCCAAGCACGCCACTTACAATCCAGGGCAGGCACTAGAAGTCGTGGAGCGTTTTACATACATTGGAAGTTGTATGAGTTCTGGTTGTAGTGTGACACGCGAGGCAATGCACGAATCTGCAAGGCGCGGGTCGCGCTTGCTAATTTGAGACACCTATGGCGTCACAGTGGGGTATCCCTGAACTTCACGGGACGTGTGTACAAGGCTACAATGCAAGCCGTTTTAATGTATGGCTGTGGGACGGCCTGTCCGAGCAGCAGAACTGAGACGTGTTCGGTTGTTCGACAATCGTTGTCTCAACCATAGCTTGTGTGGGTTGCTGTGGGAGAATCCGTAACAAAGCAACTGGAAAGCGAGTTTTCGGTTGTGCAACGGGTACTTCCATTGAAGAATGCGTTCAGCACAAGGAGATGCGTTGGTTGGGGCATGTATGACGTATGCCTAACCATCGTTCGCCGAAGAGAGTGCTGTTTCCCGTGCCCAGCTCAGAGTGGCGGAAACAGAGAGGTGACCAACCCTTGACTTGACAGAGGTGTATGAAGAAGATTACGAAAAGTTTCGGTGCTGTCGGTGCTACTCACCTTCCAGGATGGGGACCGTGTGATCCCCACTGCGCTTGGTTGGAGATACTGCGATATATGGCTGCCAAACGATGTCGGTGGCGATCTTGTTAGTTTCTATCCAGATTGACCGAATGAGTGTCTGGTAGTGTAGGCATGTCGGAATGTTTGTAGTAAGTTAGCACCAGGTCCCCGTCCACCTCTATTCTTTTCTTCACAATAAGGCTTTCAAATAAGTCATGATTGTGCGGATGCGAAGCATTGGCGCTGAACACCGATGTCATGCTGTTGATGATGATGCAGATGGCCAGGAGGGTCACTAGACTTGGAATCAATGGACTACTTCGGTTGAGGAGTTGTAAAGGTAAACCTACGGACGGTGTTCTCTAGAGATGCTGGGAACGGTAGATGTACATAAGGATTGCCAGTTAATAATCCTTGATACACTGGTGGAATTTTAAGCATTCTACATGGAGTCGTTTAGCCGTAAAAATTCAAAGGACTAGGTCCCTACAGCGTTCTTCAGGCTTTCGCTATGTTAACCGTAACTGTTTATGGGTAATGACTCAAACTTTTTTGTGCTGAGACGACGGACCCAGTCCGTCACAAGCCAAAGCACAAGAAAATCAGTTACAGTTAGTGCTTTTGAAGTACAGCTTTGTGGATGGTGACCAACACAGCGCCACTTTGCTGGACGTCAGTCGCATAAGCGGACAACAGATGAGAAAAACAGTCGTGTGATCTGACCTGAGCAAGTTACAGATCAAGACTTAGGTTAGCCCGAAATAATAGGATGAAGTCAGGGTTGTGTAGCGCCGCGGAGACCTTGGAACTCTCGAATGAAGATGTCGTTACATGCATGCGCTAGCCACATTCAAACAGGTTGAATTGTTGATCGCCTTCTATCCAAAGTGGTCAGTGACATGGAAAGCTGCGCCAGCTGACAACACAGTAAAAGAAAATGAGAACCATTCACATAGGAGATAACAGAAGTCTTCTGAACGGTACACTCACAGTCGTTCGCAAACGAATTCCAGGCAATTTTCGTCTCATAAACTAACCGCAAAAAGACGAGCACGGTTAATGCGTAGGTATAGGTGCAGGCAATCTGTGATTTTCAAGCAAACTGTTGAACCGGGGGGGGGGAGATAAAAGTACCCATATCAGACCCAAATGGACATGAAATATTGCGAAAAGTTTCAAGATACTATTTCCCTGCACAGTTTAGGTAAATATATTCGATACGCCCGCATAGGAATGAAAGAGGCTAGTGAATGAGCGATAAGTACAAAAACGACAGCATCGAATTCTTCGAGCGGCTTACACGGCAACTCATTCAGTTGTGATACCCTTTCGGTGCTTAGCTGTCATGATACTCGAAAAAAGCCAAAATACTGAGGTGCTGTCAAGTTGCTGAAGCCTAGACATGCCTAGACGACTAGATAAAAACAGTTTTAAGATACCTGTGCTCTATTTCCAACCAGAAAACTGTACAAACATCAAGTGATTCACATTTTGGGCAACGGTCTAAAGGGGATGAAGTACAAAATACCGTTAGTGTTCTCCAATCTATTGTGGCATGGAGGGCGCTCAGCAACAACGGTTAGGGACAATGAGGCTGGCGGACAGATCACAGAGCATGGTACGTAACACCAGTTGGAGAAGGGCGCTGCACGTCGTGTTCGTGTGGCCTTTTGAAATCGTCAGCGTGGCAGATCACTTAGAAACCAGTGGACTGACGAGACGTATGAGTGGATAGGCCTTACTCGTCAAATGGTCGAACTCTAATCTCACCGGACCCGATGTAAGGAAAGTGTATTTGTGTTGAGTCGCCTCATCCGGTTTGGGACGGCGATCAGGGCATGTCGCAAGTACCCGACAAGCGATAGCGTTATGATTAGCCAGTCGATCCAAATCAGACAACCGGTCAGGAGCATTGAAGAAACGTTGAAAGAAATCAGTCGGAAGCATGTTACGTCCATCACCCAGACCAGGCATAGATATTTTTAAGTCTTCTTGTTGGCGTTTTAATGCCAACTGCGTCCGAACACGGGCGTTCTCGAAGTTGCGCCAAGCTCGTTCGTACAGTTCTGATGTGTTACCGGACTGGAAGATGTCGGTTGTCAGGTACTGCTTACATGCATCAAAGGCACCCTGAACACCACCGATGTCTACAAGAGGCGAGTTGGGGGTCAGCAAGAAAATTCCCAAACGTCGACCGTAAATAACCACAGGATTGCCATAACCAACGCGGAGATTGGGGACATTTTTGTCCAAAACGGGGTCACCACCGCCATCAAGCTGTAGAGCTCGCAAGGCGTACATCGTTGCAGCTGTCAAAAATCGATGGACAGTGAGAACCACAAGCTGCAAATAAATGAAACCAAGAAGTAATGTTTAGCTAGCAGAACAAAATGAAGCAAGCGACACATGTATCTGAAGAAGACATCACTAGTGTGTACCTATACAGTTAAAGCAGATATGGATTTAATATCAGAGGAATGAGACGATGTAGTTGGTAAGACCAGAACTTCAATATTACGCACCTGATGTTATTTTAGAGATACTGAGAACATTATGCAGTTATGACCGCCCTCTGCGATGAATTCGACTGCCTGTTTTAGATAAGTTTGTGACCAAGGCCAGGGATTGCCAGTTGATACAAATTCTGATGCTACTGTCATCAACATGTTACCGAAGTTCATACCAAGAATGACTTGGAATTGTTGTTTTCCTGAACTAGATGTAAGTCGAGATTTCAATTAGGAAGTTCACACTTGTGATTTGTCGCGGCGATATATCCACACTTTCCATGACGCTGCAATGCCCATATTCCAGTACAACTGTTATGGACTCACTATCGTCCTTATCTTTTCCATTTATAATCGTGAGCAGCAAACTGAGTCAGTGAATTAGCATTAACCTTTCCACGGTAACAAGGCTTGGCGGAAGATGATGTAATTGTTACACAAGGATGGCTTGTGGACTCAATGGTTGTTGCTGACAGAAACGTATAGCAGTCCTTGAAGTTGTTTTAACCTCATCAGTTAGACAATATGGTTGTTACGGCGTAGCCAAAATATGGTGGTCATGTCTTGAAAATTTGGATATCGAAAATAACCTATCACGCGCACCACCTGCAGAGAGAAAAATCGTTCGAGTGCAAAGTGACCGAAGGAAATCTACCCTGCGATGAATCTTGTCTGTGCATCTAACTGGGTATACCACAACACACTAGGCGGCGATGTGCAGCAAAAGCAGCTCACCAACAAGGCCATAGGAGGTCATACAATATCCTAGGCAGAAAAGGCTGCCGTCCGACCAGTGA